CAATGCTCTTCCTAATGCAGCTCAGGAGGCTCTTGGCCTCCTTTGCCACAAGGATGCCTTGCTGGCTCGTGGTTTAATTTGCCTAGCAAGACTCCCAGCATCATCCCTGCTGAGCTGCTTTCCAGGCCGCTGGCCCCCAGCCTGTACTGGTGTAGGAGGTTATTTCTCTGCAGGTGCAGGACTTTGCATTTCTCTTTGAAATCAGGAGATTCAGGTCTACCCATTTCCTTAGCGTGTTGGGGTGTCTTCTCTGAATGGCAAAACTCTAACTGGTTTATCAACCACTCTTCCTAATATTTTTCAGTCTTTTGATTCACTTGTCCAGTCTTTCTGCTTGAAAAAAGTACTGCTTGACTTGGTGAAAATTCAGTTGCAGTCAGTATTTAAGAGTATGTGTTTAACATTGAGAAACACAGTTGCATACCTTGAAGGCACGCGCTGTTTTCAGTGTTGATGTCAAGAGCAAAACTAAAGTCCAGAGCAACTCTCCTAAACCCTCAGTTTGAGGAAGAATGGGCTGGTTGAGAAAGCTTTCTAAATGGCATTGCCTGAGGGAGGAGGTGAAGAGAACTCTGAATTAACCCTAATATTGACCTTGGGAGTGGCAGACTGATTCCTTTTTCTTTCTTTTCCTGCAGGGGATTTGTTTGGACTTACGATGTCATCATTCTAATAAATGCTATATTCATTGCTTTGGATGAGGAAAGCCCCTATATTTCCTATGCAGAGTGGGTCTTCCTTGCACTGTATATAATTGAGATACTCCTGAAAGTGTATACTTACGAACCAAGGACGTTCTTTGGCAAAAACCAATTCTGGAACTGGTGAGTGGGCTGGGTGGCTGTTGTGAAGGCAGTGCTAAGTGAAGAGGTTCTGCTGGTCAAGAACTGCAAGTCTCTTGAGGGAGATTAGCTGACTGAGACAACTCGTGTTAAGGTGTAGTTGAAACGACTGTGAGCACAAGATGAAAATGTGCTCTTTGCAGAGGACTTCTGTCCTCTGTCCCCTCTGCTAGCTCAGAGCTTTCCCTTGTCATCTCTGACCTCTAGGTGACAAAAGACCTGGATCCGCTATCTTAACAAAGATGCCTTTGTGGTATGTGAACAACATTCCCTTCTGCTGGGCAAGGGGAGTGAGTTTTGGTTAACTAAGAGCTTTCCCACCTCTCTGTCCTGCAAATCCAAGAGGAAACAAGACGGTCCTGTGCAGATATAGGGACAGGGGTCACTACTCATCTGTCGTGTGGCAGCTAAAAGTCCATTCTATGCTGCCCACAAATCCAACAGCACTACCCTTCCCTCGTGCTAGGTTTGATACCCTGATCATCTTTGCTGCCTTGACTGCAACAATACTCAACACCACTCTAAAATCGAGTAAGTGCAGTTTAAAAAACCTGCATGCATTTGGGAAACCTGGTGGTCTTAAGACTGCTCTTCTGCAATCATTTTGGGCTTGGGAAGCTTGTAGAAAGGTCAAGGAATTTTCTGTAGGGTTTCTAAGAACTAACTTAGGCTCTGGGAAGTTTTGGTGGGGAGGATGAGGTAGGTTTTGGGGAGTCTTTGGCTACCTATTGCACAAATAGATAGTGCTTACTAATGTTTGAAGTCCATAGTTCCCTGCTTTATTTA